GATCACAACCTCATGTTTAAAATCATCCCAGTGTGGAAAGGATTGCTTCCCTGGAGCTGCTCCTCACATGCTCGTAGCAACTAAAATTACAGGGAAAACATCCAGCGGAGAAAATGTTCGCCAAGGTGTAAGGCAGAGGCGTTTGCTTGATGTGACACTAAGAATCAAAGGGCATTCTTTCAAGTCCTATAAATGAGCAAAATTCCTATTAGCTTCTAGAAGGAGAATAAAGGTCTTGCAGGTGGTTTTCCCCAAAAAATGAAAGAGAGGGAAAGAAAAGCTAGTTAATGTCAGCAGCTCAGAGCCCTCCGAGCTGGTCGATCCTGCTGCCCTCTCAGCACCACATGTGATGGGAGAAGGCAGAGGGATTTGCACTAGAATTGTTTGTCAATTGACTGACATCAAGACTCCCCTTGGATTTTGAAGGATCTCTAGGTTCTGTCAGCAGCTCTGTGGGTATAAAAATGACCCTCAAGCCACCCTTGGGGGTGTTGTGCAGGTAAAGGGAGCCCGCAGTGTCCCTTCTGGCAGAATTGGGCATGGAACTGAGGAAGGTCACTGCTCTCTTTTGTTTGTACCCTGAGCATCCTACCCCTGCAGACTCTGAAGACAAGACAGAACCAGACGGCCAACCTGCCTCTTGCTGCAAAGGAGTCGGAGAGGACCAAGTGCTGAGCCGCCTTCTCCACATCCCAGGGCCGCTGGCCTGAACGGAGCTGCAGGCTGCCCCTCCTCTCCAGTGGTCTAAGGTACACAAGGGAAGCCCCAGGCTCATTTCTGGTGCCGCCTAGAGCAGCACTGCTCTAAGCCCTGGCCCTGAAAGGCACAGCCTCTGGGTGAGAGGGCCCTACTCCTTCAGTGAGTCAGGGTGCTCGGGGCCTCACATCCATGTGCTCAGACTTCTGCATAGCTCGTGGCTGAAATGGAACATTCTCCTGGAGCCACCTTTTCCGCCTTCAACAAGTAGATGTTTGCTAACCCAGGAAACATCTCTCAAGATACCTGATTAACACCGCAGAGGAACTGGGGTTGTCCTAGTTCTGATTGAAGGAGGAACCTGAGTTTAAAGCAAGAGAACTTCATAGATTGTCAGAAGTAATTACCACCGGGAGTACTTGTCTCCATTAAGGCCGTTGAGATACTTACAGTCGCAAAGCTGGGGTGTCCAATGAACTCTCTAGCCTGCACTTTCTCATACAGAGAGGCACATATGTTGCGATAAATACGTCACTCTCTCTATAAAGCAGCTGCACACTTATATATAAAAATGTACATTTTTACATATAAAGCACTGTGGTACATATAATATACCACTTGTATATTATATGTGATGGATATGTATATCACAACACAGGGATAAGTATATATGTAGTATGTGTGTTTGCTTCAGGATAGAAATTCGAGCTCAAGAGTCGAGGAGACCAAGTGTAATTTATCAAAGGCAAGCATGACAACGACCCCCCAATCGATGAGGGGTCTGGAACTATAGTGGTAATTACCTCAGCCTACTCAGTGTCCCCTCAAGGTCCTGAGACAGGCCCTCACGAGAAACACTGTTGTCAAGGTCTTATTTTCAAACAGAAAAATAAGACAGTGCCAGAGGCCGGCTAGAACTGGGGGTGGGGGGAGCGGTCAGAGAGGGTCCCGCTCTCAGGTTCTCCAGCTCCAGGCTGCTCCTCAGACTGTTGGGTGGGGGAGTTGGGGCATGGGTCACTGCTACATGCAACATAAATACCACAAGGAAAAAAGAGACCGAAACTGTACAGAAAATAAAAGAAGAGTCTCTTCTAGAGAAAGACATGGGGACTGGACTGCGGGCTGCTGGGAACCCGTGTTACTCACAATATATCACTACCAGTGTGCGGTTAAAATAGAGTAGGGGCCGTATTCCAAGGCAGCAAAGAGAAAAATAAATCAAAAATATGTCAATGATTAGAAGTTCAAGAAAATATCCTTCAAACACATCGATTTAGACATGACTTGTCCCCGAGGAGTCTATGCTTTGGCCAACTTTTAGAGGCTGGGGGAGAAAATGGCAATCATTAGACCAGGTTCGTTATACAGAAAAGGGAAATGGGTGAATGGATTCTGAGAGCTTGCTCCTTGGCCAGACACCGAATGTGGCCCTCTTCCTTGATGGAGAAGCTATGAAGAAATGGAAAGAAACGCAAGAGTTAAACTGTTCTCCCACAGAATTGCCAGGCATGGAATGGCCACACTTGGTATTTCTCCAGAGAGTATGACATGAAACGTTCAACGTTATTGAACAAAAGTGAACGGGGGGATGGAAGTGGGGAGGACGGGGGAGGGCGGGGTTAGGAGGGGAGGGGTGGGAAGCTGTGAATGAGGACCAGTGACTGTCACCAGCTCTGCCCTGGTGGAGATGTATTGCCCCAGGATGGATTATTCACACCTGGCCTAACAGAGTTGGACAAGTGACTCTGGGGGTCGGCTGCCCTCCCCAACTTAGGGCATCGGGCAGCGTGCATTCAATTCATTATTGACAAGTCCAGCTCCTTCTAAGGCAAGTTGCTTTGCAACCAAAACCTAGATCCCCCCATTTCCTAACCTGCCTGATATGCCTCAGGTTTAATACCTCACTTATCCTAACCACCACTTGCACATACACACCTGCATCCTACCCTCTGATTGTGGCCTTTTAATTGGGAATAACAATGTTTGGGAAATTCTGATTGTTGTCAAACTTGAACCTCACAGCTGAGGGCTGCCATGAGATGGAGCCCAGATGGAGAGGAGGGTGCAGAGCGAAGGGAGTGAGACCCTGGCCGCACTGGCTTGGTGTTGGAGAGGCAGTCCTTCCATGGCAATCTGTGCTGTGCATGATGGGAACTCATCTGCCCCTCTCGCTGAACCAATGTGGATGGAAATGAAGAGAATAAAATTATTTCAAAAAGTTGCGTGCCACTCTGTCCAGGATGATGTTAAAGGCCGCTGCTGTTTACTTGCCTAGAACCAAGATGGGAAAATGTCCTAGAGGCCAAATTCTCTTTTCTAGGGACTTAAAATTCATCTGCTGGGTCCCACTACAGTCCCTCAGAGGAAGCACTCAGCAGGAGTCCGACAGCTTTCTCTCCTTCCTCTGTTCCACTCCTGCCCCGGACTCTGCTCTCTGTCCAGTCACCAGGGAGAGCGACAGGAATGAATGATGTCATTTCCTTGCTTAAAAAGGGCTATATTTATTGTAGGACTAAAGCCCACTCTTCTTATCATGGCACCTGCCCTCCTCTCTGATCTCATCTCGCACCCCTCTCTCAAATCCCACCAGCTCCCCTGCGGGTCTTCCTTCCCTCAAACACAGCAAACTGACTTCTTCTTCTGGCCTTTGCCCCCCTCTTCTGCCTTTCTGGATTGGGCCTTAAGTCAGGGCCACCTCTCAAGGGAGGCCTTCCAGATCTTTCTAGCTAAAGCAGCATCTCTGCAGGGTTCCTCCCACCCACAGGCTGCCTCCAATCTCTTCAAAGCCCTTGTTTTTACCTGAATGGATTTCATTGTTTCTATGATCACTGTTCTATGATCAGTCACTGGAGTGAAGGATTGGGGGCTCTTGTTCTGAGATTCCCATAAATATCCCTCTTGGTGGGTATCCGTGTTGAGAGGAGGGGGCCCTGTGTGTTAAGTCAATAAGAAGGAGGAGCAAACCATGGGTCCAGCTGGCCCTGACTCGGGAAGCAGCTGAGCAGATTTCTAGACACCGCTCCAGACAGAGCGCCCTGAAAGGGGATCTGCCAGAGGAGGAGGCTGCGTGTCTCTGAGCCCTAGCCGAGGCCCCGGTCTCTCACAGGTCGGCATTCACTGTGCCCCTCCCCTAGGAGTCCCCTAATAAACCCTGTGTCCGCCAGTCAGTACATCCCTGGAATGGGGTTCTGGGCTTGGTTCCGGCTCTGAAAAAGCGCTTTATGGGATGATCCTTTATAACTGCACTCCTACTCATCAGACCCAGGATTACCCCATTCACCCTGTCTTCTGACACAGCACCAAGAGAGGCCTCGGGTAGGCCCGAACCTAACTTCTGGGTCTGTCACTCTCAGCCACTTCATCCAGGCAGTGACCTCAAAGCCTTAATTTCTTATTTTTGTGAAACAGGATTAATAACACCCCCTGCCAAGTATGCAGGGTTATGGTGAGGAGCAAAGCAAATAGTGATCCTAAGGCGCTTTGAAAAGACTAAACATAGGAAGGCAGGTGTCATCACCGTTTCCTCTAGGGTCCTGAGAGATCTTTATTAGGCCAGGCACCATGATCACCGCCAACAGCAAGGCCTTCTCCAGGCAAAGCTGCTCCAGGCCCATTGTCATGACCCACATCCCTGATGTTCTCTCAAGAGGCCCCACTGGCAGGCAGAAGGGGTTTGAGGGAGGCCGTGCCAGAAGCCACAGAGCCGAGTCTCATGAACCCCGAAGGGCACTGATGTCTGATGTTGATCCCTGAGACAATGAGAAAACCCACCGGCCATGGCCAAGTTCTTTCCTTGGGCCAATCTGAAGGTCCTGCAGTTGGAAGCGCTGGCCTTTGGTACTGAAACCTGCAGCCATCCCAAGGGGAGAGTCAGCCCCATTCGGGAGACTGAGTCCTCATCCTGGATCTCCTCTCTGTCCTAGTCCAGCTGTCTGTACCCTGGCCATTCCCAGATCCACTGGCAATCACGGAGCAGAAACACCCTCCTCTACGGCCTCCTCACTGCACACCGTACTCACTGTGTTTGCCTGGACGCCCTCTGAGGCGACCCGTTAGGCACTTAGAGGGACAGAGCATTCATTAGGTCTACACTGAGGTGTTGGCGGTGGTGATTTTTCAACCTCTGCTCTAGTAAATCGAGGACAGGTATTTATTTCATGTCTCTTTAAACTGCTGGGTGAAACATAAACATATTCAAGAAGGCTCTTGATGTTTAGTGTTTCTTTAGTTGGAAGAGGAGGAGGGACATGAACTCGGGAAGAGGAAGGAGCCAGGGAGGGAAGGGGGAAAGAAACGCTACTTACGCCGTTTGCAGCCGCATTTTTTTATCCTTTTGGGATCTGTGATGTCATCGTGACAGGCCTTGCAGTAAAAAAATGCCCTGGAAAGAGAGAATGGAAAAACTGACATGTTTCATAATCCGCCCCAGTGGAACGAGCACCACATTTCCCCCGCCGCGGTGCCAAATGAATGAAGCATGCCGGCCCTCACCGCCTTTCATCTCGTGAAAGGTTTGGACGTGTACAGACGGAAATGTTTGTTGCAAGACCATTTATTTCAAACACAGGTCTCCGTGATTTGAGTGAGTGCTTCTTTTAATAAACTTTCATTGGAAAAGGAACTGGGGGAAAGGTTGTGGATGTGACCGCGTGTCTGCTCTCCCGTCTTTTATTCGGAGCCGCAGCCTTCAGAGCTGCTCCTCGGAACCTGGGGCAAGCGGTCCTGGGCATCGGTGGGGAAAGGAGATCCACTCGGAGATCCTCTGTCTGGTTCACTGTATATTAAGGGGGCACAAGGATGGCGTTCCTTGGTCAAATACAAATATCCGCCCTGTCATGCTGAGAGCGTCCTTTCACTTCAGGAGATTAGAAAGGGGAAATCTAAAGTGATAGGTCGAGGGGCTCCTGTCAATTTCCTTCTGGAGTCGCATCACCCATATTTACTGCAAAGTTGGCTGGACCAAGTCACGTAGTCTCCAGCCTCAAGACTGTATAATAACGAAAGGTTTTCTTTACATGGAGGGGCCCACCTCAGCTGTCCACTGGAATGGGCGGGGCAGAGGGTATTATAGGGTTGGGGTGAGTAGAAGGAGGCCCAGAGACAGCAATCCATCAATGGGATTATCTTCTCATCTGATTTAAGTGTCAACATGCGACGATAAAGTGCACTGGCCATGTCCACGTTAACTTGGATGAGGCAGAATAAAGTCAAGCGCTATTTAAACTGCTCAGGGCCTAGAAAAACAGCCCCGGCCAGAGGTCTGTGTCCTCTCACTGCTGGGAGGCGCCAGAATTCACTGGAACAACTTCGCAACCTTCTGAGTCCAGGGACTAACAAAACCCTGACCTAGCACCTTCCCCATTCGCACCACGAAGGTAAATGCCAGGGAAAAACATGGCCGCTCCTTGACCAGCGCTATAAAGAAAGAAACACAGTTCTTGACTACTTTATTCCCAGGCTCCTTCTCATGCTTTTCACAGGACTGGCATATTTGGGAGCCACTGCTAAGACGTTTGATCTGGAAGAGATGTGAGATCTTGTAGCCCAAATCGCTGGGTCTCGGTGTCCTCATTGGGAAATGGAGGAGGTGTCCTAGCTGCCTACAGCCATCCTGCACTGGAACATGGCCAGCCCAAGCCTTTGAGAGTTAGGCCCCGTGCTCCTTCCACCCTAATAGCTCACCCACTCTTCCTTAAATGCCAGGTTTCATCTATTTTACAAAAAAATTAAAGGGAAGCTGATTGTTTGCCCTCAGTGGAAATGTAGCTAAAACCCAACCAAATGATGACCTGCCTCGAAAGGGGAAGTGCAGGACAGGAGGAAGCAACTGTGCTTCCATGACCTTTGCCCATTTTCTCCCCCATTTGATGTTCCTGCTCATATTATTAATGATAGTCAACATTTGCAGAGCATAGACGTTAGGCCAGGTGCTCTTCTAAGCATTTAATAAGTATTAATGTATTTTATCCTCAAACAATCCTTTGAAGGAGGTGTGATTATCATCTCTGTTTTACAGACAAGAAAACTGAAAATCAGAGAAGTTAAGCCACCTTCCCAAGGTCACACAGCTAAGTGGCAGAACCAGGATTCAAATCCACACAGTCCATTCCCAGAGTCCAAGGTCTTAAACACATCTCTACTAAAGAGATGATGAGGTCATGACAAGCCTGAATAGACCTTTGAAAAGATAAAGCACAACTAGTTCATAAATCAAAGCTAGGTTCTGAAAGCAAAATCCCCACAGAGACCAGGCAGATAAAGTTAGTGAGCAAAATGGGATGAGGGTGTGGGTCTGTGGTGACCTAGACACACATTCCCCAACTAGAGAGAACAGGGTAGGTAAACAGCAGCTGATTTTTGCTATGTGGCACTTCCTTGCAAGCACCCTTGTTTTCCCATCCACCTCTGCCTCTCTCATGCTCACCTGGCACAGACTCTACCTTACTGCATGCCTGCATTGAGCAGCTGAGTGTTGCTAGGGAAATACCCTTGTTGACTGATCTCACTTTAAATCAATGGGTGTGGATTCCAGGAGCCTTTGTACACTTCTCAGGATCTATGCCCTATCTCCTCCTCCCACCTCAACCCTCTCTGCTCTCCTCTCCATGTCCTCTCCCACTCACCTACCCCTTCCTCAAGCAGCCTTAGCTGGGGGCCTTGCCACTGACATCACCAAGACCAGATCTGCATCCTGCAAGGCTGGTGTTTAGGGTCCCCTTGTCCTCTGGTTTCTCATTGTGATTGTCTAATGGGGGAGCCATTAGGAGGCTGAAGGGGGAGAAGAGTCATTCCCTAGCTACCAGCTTATAAAATAGTAGTAACACCATCTCCCTACAGAAGAACACAGCCCCTGTGAGGCAGCCTTTCCTACAGCACACCCTCTGCCTCGTTCTAACAGCCCTCCTTCCCCTTGACTAGGCCTGGAAGTGGCTCTAACTCTGAGTACTTTGGGTACTAACTCTGGGTACTTTGCTATCCTTTGTGGGTTTCCCTTAACTCTGCCCACAACTTTATACATTCCCCTTTTTCCTTTTAAGTGCGTCCATCTGTTTCTTGCTAGACCCTCACTGATACAGCATCCAAATTTACATCTCCAGTCCTCCTCTTTACCCAGAACTTCAGAATCTTAGATGCAACTGCCTTTGTGACATCTCCATATACCTTACTTAACACAGCCCAGTTAGAATTCTTCAATTCCTTCCACCCCCAACGTGTTCCTCCTCCCATTTCCCCATCATCCACCCAATTGTGGAAAGCTGGAGTCTAGGCTCCATTCTTTATCCTTCTTGTTTCCTCACTTCTAAGTCCAGTTTATCAATGAGTCCTAGGAACTCTCCAAAATGTATTCTGAACTGCTCTTACTTCTCACCACCTCCACTCACCCATTAGCTCAGGCCATTACCTCTCACCTAATCTACCAGCAGTCTCGGAGTCTCCTGGCCTCCCCTCCTGCTCCACTGTATCTGACTCTCTCAGAGCACGGGCAAAGCTTTTTAGTGATATAAATCAGACTATGTCACCGCCAGCAAAAACCTCCCATGACTCCATTTGATAATAAACTCAACCTCTGAATATAGTCCTTTGGGGACTAGCTCTACCGTTCTCTCTAATTTTGCCTCACCACTCTACTCTCCCAGACACCCTTTTTCCTTCAGTTCCCTGAACACAACAAATATTTCTATCGTGTCTCCTCCTCCCTTCAGATCTCTGCATGATGGATTCTTCCCCATCACCCCAATCTCTGCTCTATCATCACTCACTCCCAGCCACTTTCACTTACACTCCATCTAAATCAGGGACCAGCTGCATGAATGCTTTGCACCAAGAATAAACACAGCTGTACTTCTCCCTCCCTGGAAGGGAGCCCATGAGAGAGGGACTTCTTTCCACCATTTCCCTGGCACCTAGTACAGTGTCCTGGGAAGTGAGTGCCCTATTGACGTTTGATAGATGAATGAATGCTGCTCAGTAATGCTGGATCTGCATGCTTTTCAGAAGACTCCAATAATAGGGATTTTTATATAAGATTAGGACTTCTTCAGCTTGGAAACTATTTTTTTTATAAGCCAAACTGAGCCAAAGAGGCACCATTCTGTGACTCCCACATTAAATACTATGGGGAGGTTACTCAAAAGCAAAATGCTTAGTGGCCAGGAGTGAAGGACAAGGGCCCACATGCTTCTCCCAGAGTGACCTCATTAAAACTGGAATCAGATGGTTTCATCCTTCCCCCCGCCCCCCTAAAATACTACATCCAAGGCATAACCGGTTTAGCTCAGTGGATAGAGAGTCAGCCTGTGGACACAAGGGTCACAGGTTCGATTCCGGCCAAGGGCACGTACCTTGGTTGCGGGCACATCCCCAGTGGGGAGTGTGCAGGAAGCGGCTGATCAATGTTTCTCTCTCCTCAATGTTTCTAACTCTCTATCCCTCTCTCTTCCTCTCTGTAAAAAATCAATAAAATATATCTAAAAAAATACATAAAAAATTTAAACCAGAATCTGTTTAACTTCTTTTGTTGCTTTTTTGGAGCAGAGGGTGCAAACTCAATACGAGAGCATGATAATCTACTTTTCCATCTGCACAAAACTTGTTTAGTTTCATTCAGATCTCCAAAGCCCTTCTGTGGTTTCTGCAGTCTTCATCTATTTGCAGTCCCCTAACTGACAGCTTCTGCTCTGACACATCGCACAGCCTGGGAATTACAGGCCTGCGCAGCTGATTGTGTCAGCATGTATTTGTGAAGGCCATAAAGCACTGAAATGAGACACACTGCGCTCCCCAATAGAGGAGGTGATTTGTTTTTTGGACGGCCTGGTATTTGTGACATTCATTAGTGAGAGATGCAACAGGAAATAGAATTACACAAATGGGAGCCTCATGTTCCCCTTGCTGTGCTCCTCAGCCCCCTGCCCTGAGATGCCGCTTCCACCATTGTGTCTCCGTCTGGCTGTGAGCACAACCTTCTCTTGCACAGTAGGAAAAGGGTGTTCAGTCCCATTTCCCTACCCAAGGTTCCTCTCAGCTGGACCCAGTTCTTGGGGTGCTCCTAAGACAGTGGGGACCCTAAATTGCATAAAAAGGTTTTCCTCCTCTGTGCCTGCATAATAGGAATTTTGCAGACGTAAATTTAAGCCATTAGATAGCTCGGTTTAAATTGTTGTTGCTTTTCCACCGCATTTTCCGCACTGAAAGCTGTTATGACTGGTGGCTAGTTTGCAGGAGTACCTGATGAGTAAGCACCAGCTGTCAAACATTATAGTTCTGTGCTCAGCGTGTCAGGTTCAGTCTTGGCAAATAATTAAGACTGTAAGGCTTCCTGGTTTTAAGTCCTGGCTTTAAACGAGCAGTGTGGCTTGGGCAAGTTAGTTAACCAACCTGTGCCTCAGTTTCCTCATATGTAAAATAGGAATAGTAATGTTGCCTCATAAGGTTGTTGAAAGGAGGAAATAAAGAGTTCATCAATGCCTGGTGCCTAGTCCTCAGAATAGGGCTGCCACATATTACACTCAACAGGTCTAGTAAAGGCATGCATTCCCCAGTCACTGAGAGTCAGCAAATATACACAACTGCGGGTTGGGGTGTGGCTTAACACACATAATAACATGGGCTAATGTGTTAAATCTGCTGCAGAAAGTCAGACCATGGGACAACAGAACCAATTATCCCTCGTGAAGTGGTGTGATCATGTGCTAATCATTCGCTGAACATTATTTAGGAACTGAAACTCTTGGATTTAAATATGTAGACTATAGTTGTCAATATGTAATATTTATTTATGTCAACAAAATTATTAGTGTTTTTCTCCAATAAATGGCTTATTCATTAAAATTTGTTTAAAAATTATAATGAATTAATAACAAAAATGTAATAAGTTAATTAAATTATAACTTACTCTAGATTAAAAGCATTTTAAAATTAGCAATGTGTTGCTGAAAACGGTTTGCCTCAGTGGTAAAGCGTCGATCTGCGGACTGAAAGGTCCCGGGTTCGATTCCAGTCAAGGGCATATACCTTGGTTGTGGGCACATCCCCAGTAGGGGGTGTGCAAGAGGCAACTGGTCAATGTTTCTCTCTCATTGACATTTCTGGCTCTCTATCTCTCACCCTTCCTCTCTGTAAAAAAATCAATAAAATATATTTAAAAAATAAATAAAATTAGCAGTGTGTCATACTTTCACATATGACATATGGAGGGGGAAATTTTGTTCATTAAATCCAAAGTCCATTAAATCGAGGTCCGAAAAATCGAGGGCTAACTGTACTAATAAAAGTGTCATAAACCATTGAGGCCAACGAAATCCTGGCTATCCTTGACAACTTCAGCCACTTACCTAGAAGGCCACAAATAGAAATATGGCCAGTTCAGTATTTCATCTGAAATTAATCCAAACCTTTAGAGATTCCATTTGGCACTTAAAGTAAAAAACAAAAAACAACAACAAAAAACAAAACAACACTGATAATTCTCCAGTAAAGAGCTCTGGACGAGGAGTCAGTTGTCCTATGCTATGTGGTTCTGAGTCATCAAGCATGAGGGGCCTGCAACAATCAATTGGGCTCTCTGGAACTCTGGCTCCTTCCTTAGGAAATGAGAAGGAGCTAATCAGTCTCTCCTAGCTCTGGAATGTTATTCAAAGTCAAAGATGCGGAACTGGTTATGTGAAGAGGAGCCCATGGAAACATTTGAAAGCACAATCCCTTCTTCCTAAGATTTGTTAGGAAGACGCCCAAAGGCCTGTGAGGACATTCTGGGGCTCAGGCCCTGTGCTTATGGAAGCCCGGTCACCTCAAGGGGTCAAGATGTCTATGCTAGAATGAAAAGGAAGGCAGGAGGAAACAAACTCTTACCTTTTAACTTCTTTGGCATCACTTGCGATGAAAAATCCTAAAGTACCTTCTTGGATCTTAAGATGGTTTCCAGGATTAATTAATATACTGCTCAGTGAACAAAAACAAACAAAGAAGACACATTTGTCAGGTCACGTTCTGTGCAAAATCTGGAAGGCTACACGGTATTGTTAATTGTATAGGGGGCCCACTAGTCTAATGCTGTCCCCTAAGATTTTGTCTAGAGCTTAAGGTTCACTATCCCACACACTTAACTGGATAACGCCATCATAGGTTTGGCAGTTCAACTCCTAGGTTGGCATACTCCCAGTTGCAGAAATCAAAGCAAATCTACGTTTCAGGGCCAGGTTTTTATAATGGGGTTGCCATCATGGGCTTCTGGTTTGAAGCAAAATTCCCAATAATCTACCCCTTAGAAAATGCTGTTGATGGTCAACACTGAGTGTTATTAGTCTAATAAATTTAATGCTACACTGATTTTCAGTAAGATGACAGAGCATTAATGGGACCCCTATATGCATACAGAAACAGACATGTATACACACCACATACCACTGCAGGGAATGGTACAAGACACCCATACCAATGCAGAAGCAAGAACATCTGCATGACATGATAAGGACATGGAAGTGGATTCCATGCGCAGTCTGTGTGGAAAGAACTGGGTCCACGAGAACAGTGGGGGGAAAAAAACAAAATGCAAGCAATCAGAAATACTTAATGATTCTAACCTGCCCTTTACAAAAGGTAAGAGAGTCTTTGAATAAGGTGCATGTCTAGCACATACTGATTGGGGCAAACTGTAATTAGAAAACAAATGCAAATTACCACAAAAAAGACTTCCCCTTTAAGGAAGTATGAACCTACATATACACTGTCCTATTTCAAGGTGGTGTAAATAGATGAGCTGACCAAGTTGTGTTAGGACTGACAGAAGAGATAAATGTATCCTAATCTAAGAAATGGATGAAACCAACAAATTTAATTTTCTGCAGATCAAAAGCAGAATCCAGGAATGCCATACACAGAGACTGAGATGAGATTCCGGGCTCAATGGATATGGAATTTAGAGACTCTAAATTCAGCAACAGATACAACGGAGAGAGTCTGATCTGAAAATCAGGTGTTTCATGGAATAGATGTTTGGAATCAGGCTAAAGGAAGTTCTAAACTCCCTAAAACAATCAAAATGGAGGATGGCAATTAACATGCAATCCTTCTCTGCTGGTAAAATCATTGCAGAAAAGTGCTGTGACCAACAGGGCGATATGCCTGTAGCAATACAGGAAGGACCCAGGTGAACTTTTGTTCTGTTAAGAGAACGGAGTAGATTGTTATTGCAAAATAATGGTTTGTGGTCCCAAGAACACCCCCTATTATCCATAACAAGGCCTGTCAGAAGGAAACCAATCCCATGTAACTGCTCTTATTAATGCTAAATAATAGCAAAAGTCCAGGAAGACCTGACTGTCCTTCCCCGGAACCTCAGACAACAGTGAGGCAGCAGCAGGCCACCAAGGGCAGCACTGGGGAGGTCCCTCCCAATCACCTTGCACCAACTCTTCACGTTTGTCGCCCACCCTCTGACTTTTCATGATCGTGAGGAGAAAGGGGCCCAACTAATACAGGCTAGCCAGATTCCCCGGTAAATGCAACGTTTTAGACGGACAGCATTCCGGACTTGGCATACTTTCTTACCCCATTCCTGCAAGGCAGTTCTTCTAGGCCCTGGCCCTGCAACCAGAAATTGGGTCCGAACTCCAGCATGGCCTGTCAGTAGCTGTCTGGCCTTGGGCAAGTGACAGCACAACTTTAGGACTCAATTTCCTCACCCACAAGATGGGGAGGATGATCATCATAGTCTTCAGTGACATAATGCACCGAAGGCTCTATGTCAACTAGTTGTAGTTCCTTTTATTGTTTATTATTGGGGGGAGGAGGGAAGCCAAAAGGATATTCCATTCTCAATGGGATCATCAGCTTTTCCCCAGTTGGCCACATGACATGGAACACATCCTGCCCATGATTTGGTGAAGTTACAGGGTGAAGAGCTAACTGTGCACTTTAGAAAAATGGACAAGGACATAATGAAAAACTCCAAGTACTTCTGGACTCTAAAGGAGCAACTTCCTCAAAATTGGAAAGTTCTACCAATAGACAACTATTCATTTAAGAGTATTAAAAAACTTCCCTGGTGAAAAACAAATCCAACCATGATTTCAGCAACACAATTCAAAAGAGGAAATTTGACAGGCATCAATGTTATGGTGACATATATACACCACAGAGCCTCACACAGAACCTGCTTCCCCTTTTTCACATCGGATGCTTCAGAAATTGCACTTTGATGGTCAACCCCACTGTGCCATGGCGGTGTTTGCAAGGTTCCTGCCCATGAAAAGTCCCTTTCCATTGCCTCTGCTCTCTAACAACTGGCCTACAGTAAGGATATGGGATTGTCAATCCACAGACACAGGCTGAGATAATTTATTACACCTTCCACTTGCCCTAGTCAAGTTTGAGGGTGGAGAGGAAAGATTCGGAAGTAAGGCAGGTCTGTGTTCAGATCTCAGTGCTGCTGCTGGTGTTTGAGTACCAGTACTCAGGTGCACGTGTGAGGCCTAAGGCCTCAGGTTCCCGCCTTGAGCATGTGGGAAGTCTCACTCTCCTCATCTGAAAAATGGGGTACTGCTAAGAAAATTAAAGCACATACTACGTGCTGAGTGACTATCAGATAGTAAATCCTTAATATACAGTCACAATTAATAGTAGCAAGGTGATTACAGCACCTGAGGAGCATCACAGCTCCCATTTTGTCCTTGGAGCTAAGAAACAACCTATGGGCACTAAAAGACCTTTTCACTGACCCCAGTATCTGAGAGATGTTATTCCTGTACAGTACCTGTAGATGGGGTAATTTGGGCTGGCTTTTGGCTACACAGTAGAGTAGCTCTCTGTTCCTTAAACTGTATGGCTGATTGTATTAGACCCTGGAAGGACCTCCAAGGACATCACTGACCAGGTGACTGCAGAATGTCCTCTTGTTCTCTTCTGGTCAGGGCTGGGAGGCTTTAAATCAACTCTACAAAGTGCATGAGGCTGAAAAAATGCACCCAGCTCTTGAGATAATGAAGGAAAGACATCTAGACACATAAAGAGGCTCTCTGGGCTGGATTGCATGCCTATTTAAGGGTTTGGTAGAGAAGCACGCTAGCCTGACCCAGAGACCACTGTATACACTGCTCCCTGTGTAAGGGCACAGAGTTTCAAAGACTCTTTGAGGAAATATATTACTCTTTTTGGTATTTCCGACATTAAGTCTTCTATACACATTCCAAATCTAGAAAGTTTGAAGTACCGATCCTCATCTTCTTGAAAATATAACAAGATAAGCATCTGAACCAGAAGTAATTTTTTTTTTGCTCCTGCAAAGTGCCTGCTATCCTTAGAATGTGTCATTGAGCTCCTAATGGGAATATGTAAATCTTTCCAAAGATCTTTGATGTCTTAAAATACCCTATGTTAAGTTTGTGTGTCCTGATGATGGCCAAAAATCTAGCTCCCTGGGCATCACTTTAAATCAGTCTTTGGCTCCAATTCTGTCTAATTTACTAGCTTATCAGACAGAGATAAACTTCAAGAGATAAACTGTCATGTGAAGAATCAAGAAAATCTCTAAGGAAAAAAGTCCATCTATCAATTAGCAGAATTCCAAAAGGGACATATTGTTGGCGGGATGGACTTGCCCTGATTTCCAAGGATCCTATAAATTATCCTCTTCCTTCTATGATTTGTTAATTTCCACTGAAAAGATTCAGTGATAGATGGAGGCCAAGGGCTGGTGTGGTCCCTTCCCCAAGGATTCTTATTCTTTTGCTTTCAGACTAGTTTTGAATCTAGACTTATTCCTCAGCTCCTCACTCACTATATGGAATAAATAGATATTTTTTGTAGGGAACTCATAGGTGCGTAAAGGAGTGAAAAGCAAGATCATATTTTATTTACTTTTATAAGTTAGTTTCTCATAGCAGCCAGCTTAGAGCCCTGCATGGAATAGGCACTTTTCAACTCTTTGTGGAATGAGTGAAAAACCTAAGTCATTGGTCTTAGTTCCAAAACTGTTGCTTTCTCTCTCTACTAAGGAGAAAAGGAGCCACAGCTGATCTTTCAAAGGCCCACCTGCAGTTCCTATCAGTCAGGCCTATGAGAGGAATGACCACACTTCTTCTAGGGGGTTAGCAAGTAAGCTAACAATATCCCAGAGACATTGTGCATAAATATGTAAATATACAAATATAGTAAACAGCTAGGCACACGGGGAGTTGAAGCCATTGATTTCAATATTGAAAACACCACTCACTTAGATCTGAAATATGTTCTTAAACGTAAGACACATTCCCCTGAAACTGGCTAACAGGGCTCAGTCCACCGGGAAACACTGCTTGCCGAGTGCCCTCAGGAGGGAGGCAGAGCCAGGTCTCAAGCTGCAGTGCATTTCACTATGTATCTCTTACTGAACTTGGGTTAGAGTGACAATTTGGGACTTGATAGAGCAAAACGATGTCTTCCCTTTCTCCACCACTTATATATAACAACTGGGAAACATCTTGTTATTTCTTCTCCAATTACCATGAACTTCACTTGTTTGTTGATTTGAGAGACAACCCATGATTAGTAATTCAACTGAAAGAGATATTTTTAAAGGAAACTCTTCTCCATTATTGATAAATATGACAGGTGTAAGTCTCTTTACTCCCTAATATCTGGTAGGTGTAATGTACCATTCCCTGAGCAATTACAAACATATCACGTTCATGAGAGCATGTATTTGGTAACCCTGCAATTATAGCTGAATCTAGAAAGCTAAGGGGACTTCATTACCTAGAACAAGAGAATAAGAACCATGTAGGACTTCAGTTCATGCCAGGCCCAGAGGGATCATGCCACTGAAAGTGGCCCCTTTGACCACACAAGGTCATGTGCGATGGTTGTTGGGTGGGACTTTGTTTGAACCAACTGGTTCCCAATTCAAAGAGCACAGTTGCCTGGCAGTTTATGGGCTGTGTTAGGGCACAGCCTCCAGAAACCCCAATTCTCAACTCTTGCTGCCTTTTTGGAACTTTTCATTTCTTCTGGATCTTAAAATATATCTGCCAGAGTCCCACACAACTAGACACACACACATTCCACAGTGTGGATTCCATGCTCAGCACACTGGAACCCAGGGCACTTACACAAAGACAGCATCATAAAGATTGCTCCCAGTCGGTAAGACTCAAGTGACCTCCACTGAGGTCCACCAATGACATGTTTACCCAGATTCCATCTCAATAATTTTAGAAATGGCATTTTCCAATAGATTTTGCACACAAGGAAAATAGTGGCCGAATGAGAAGGAGAAGAAATGGTTCATTTGGCAAGGACAGTGCTGGATATTTAGCCTGGGAACAACCCAAGTCACTTTCTAGTACACTTTAGGACAAGTCATGCCTACATCACAACATGCCTTCACCACATGGTAAAAGGACTCCAAGGCCAAAGCCAACAGCACAGGTGCAACCACTGTGGCCCTTTGGCGATGCAAAGTGTTGCAGTAACTTCTCGCAGTTGGATCATGTCAATAATACCAAACTGACAGGAAGCCACCTCTATTATCACACATCTACTCACAAAACCACAGAGAACCTGACTTCGGAAAGAGTTACACACAAACACACACACACACACACACACACACACACACTCACACACACACACACACACACACACACACTACAAAACAAACATGTGACGGTGATTACAACCACTGAAAAAAACAACTCTTGAGAAGATGAATAAGGAGACATCTCAACAGTATGTTTTCAACAACACGCCCTTAGATAGAGAACACATTGAAGAAGCTGCACTGGAAATATTAACCCAAAAAGGTAAAAAAAAAAAAAAAAAAAAAAAAAAGCTATCGATGAGGATCCGGTCATGCTTCATGCAACATACAACAGCAGCAAAACAGGTGAGGTCATACAGTGAATGTTTCGATACTTCATATTTAGAAATATGCCCAAATACCCTCAGAAAAACAGAAGCCCTGAGTTCCTCTCAATAAACAGTACTCATCAGAGTACTTCCCAAGAAATACATATGCAAAATCTGAGCATCTAAATAAGTGTAAGGAAAAAGAGGTAAGTGTAAGGGCTTGGTCTCTGTTTTGTGGATAAAAGGACACAAATTCTGCTCTACCAATTGGGAAGTGGATACAGGGAGGCGGGGGTTACTGGGAATGTGGGTGTGGGATGCAGACAAATGGAACCAGAGTCTGGTGGACACCACGACACAATCGGACAGGACAGAAACAGACACCGAAGGCTGGACAGAAGCGTCCTCCTTTTCAACTTTAATAGATTTGTTTTCATCATTGGTGCCATGACAAAACAGGATTGTGTCTTTTGATTTTTTTTTTTTAAGTTTTCCTGCAAAGAAGTTAGTGCGTCATCCAAAAGAATCAACAAGTCAAACAAGAAAAGCAATGTGCTACTTTCAATTTTTATGTCTCCTAGCTGGAGAGGGGTTTATATATAAATATACATATATAATTATATATAAATATATATCTATATATACTGACGAGGGAGTGAGATTATATACTCATATATATATATAATCTCTATATTCCTGAATTCTTGACAATAGTTAGTCTTGTGGTTAGAAGTGAAGATAGAGGGTGGAGGTTGGGAGGAAAGTTAACGAAGAGTGCATACCGCTTTCGGCTTCTGCAAAACGACAAGAAAAGAATTTAAGATCAAACAATTTGATAATAAATTGATTGACACCAGAAGGAAAAGAAGGAATAAAACCTTTGTTTCAAATTATTTGAAGGATACACGTGAAAACAAGGTTTTTCAGCAAAGCATGAGAACAGTGTCATGGGGTGGAGGGACAAGGTCATTCAGGACAGTCTGGGGCACTGGGGTGAACAGAGGAGCAGGGCTCTCGGATTTTAACACCTGGTCACTTCAGAAGTGTGAGAGGAAAGCAAATGGGAAATGTTTTAATGCAGGGGGAAAAAATCCAAGGTATCATCTCAGGAAGGGTCGAACACTCGATTCTTGGAGATATGGGCACTGTGTTTGATAAGCCCTGTGTTTTCTCACAGGCATGATCCACATTCCTTCAAACACACCTTTTTCCACAAAAGCCATTGAGCTTCACACTGAGACCAAGCCACATCTGAGGATTCAAGCTGGCAAGGGCACACAGAAAGCCAAAACAAAGCCAGACAAGTTCTTTTTTTCCCTTTCTTAAAAAAAAATAAATAAATAAATAAATAATCTACAAAACTCTATCTGCAAATGTGGCTTTGTTGAAAACATCTCTGATGTCGTGAATTAACTGGAGGGTCCATCAAAGGAAAGATCGTGTCTTCGAGGAAAGCTCTGATTTCTTTTTCTTAGAGTGGGGGCAGGGCTTCACAAGGGACCATTAGCAGCCTGTTTCTCTCCCTCCTTGGGACCAAAAAGTGGCAGGTGGGAAGGGACTGGGTAAGGTTCAGAGTACAGTCTCTTGCTAGGAAATGACTCCAGAATGCTTGAGAAAGGCTACTCAGCATCACCCACACTGGGACACTTTGATGAGATATGTACAAGAAAGGGAGAACACTGAATTGTACAAAGAATTACTAAGTTGGCAGCACAAAGAATATCATTTGCAACCCTCCTCTCCAACCGCCCAGGTACAGGTGAGCATTGCCAACAACATGGACAAGCAGCAGTCCCAGGAACGTCCATGTCATCAGTTGAACAGCAAATAGCCAGGACTCTCAATGTTTTTTTTTTGCAAATAATATTCTTCACTTGCCAACAGGAAAAGTATGTGTGTCTACATATGTATGTGCTAACTGCTACAGCTATGTTCTACACGTGGCTACCAAATCTACCGCTTTCTCTTCCTTTTGGTTGATTTGGATTTTCCTAATAGCTGAATGTTGGATCAGATTAGCATGGAACAATCTGATCTGGGGTTGAGGTAACAGAGAATGTTGGATTGACTTGCTTACAATCCAGCGTGTTTTTTCTTTTTTTGTCATGGAGACACAGACTGAACATTTGGAGGTCTGGCTTTATGGAGTATTCATCCAAATAATGGAGACTCCTTAAATGGCCATAGCAGGAACCTTCTAGTCTTGCCCTGCACACTGTATGGTCATTCAGGTGTGTCCAAGGGTGTATGCCCTACAGGGAGACTACCTGACTGAAACTAGGAACAAACCTGGGATGTTATTTCAGAGAACAAAAGCCTGAAGATGTCTCAATGAGTTATCTTTCTCCCAAAATGACTGATAAATTGGGGACAGGGGTGGCAGAAATCATCTCTATTTTATCTGTAATGTGTACAGTGTTTCATCCACAGAATTCCTTGTTAATGCGACGCCTCCTTCTTCCAGGGTGAGCTCATCTATTGACTGGGGTGTTATCAGTTTCAACCAGACCCAGTCCCTCATCAGTCTCATTTGCACGTAATTACGTGCAAAATAAATAAATAAAGAGAGCTCCTGCCTCTGCGCCTTGCTCTCCTGGCTAATTTCCATGAAGCTGATACGCTGCCACCTGGATGATGGTTGCACCTGGAGAAGCACATATGGTCCACAATAGGCTGCTTGTAATCTGGCTATCAAGAGAGCTCAGATCTCCCATCTCGGCCCTGCCCCCTGCATGCTGGCAATGAGGCCGGGTCCACTTGCTTTGTGCTCACAACAGTAAAAGGGGGTAAGAGGACAGTGTCTGACCCCACTTGGATGCAAAGAGCTGAAAAGTGAAAGTTGGTACCATCGGCTGGAGGGCTGGTCTCATCCCTTTCCCTGGAGGAACACTCTCAAGGCCCTGGGGGCTCCAGGTGCCCGGCGGGTCTGGAATAGAGAAGCCAGTGCCTAGTCGAACATGCCTTGAGATGTGTCCTAGGGACTGAGAGCTGTTGCCTCAGGGTCTCAAGCAAGTAAATAATACCCAAGACAGAGATGTGGACCAGGATGCACGCTCATCATCATCAATGTGAACTGGCAGCGGAGTCACAGCAAACTTACCGGCTTTCTCGGTTGGCGGACTTGTACTCAATGGCTATCATTAGGAGCTTGAGCTTCACAAAACACAGCCTGCAATGAGATGGAGACACCTCCCAGTCAGTGCTTCTGAAGGACCAGGGCCACCCAGCCAACACTGTTACGACCCTTTCATCCCCTAATCCAGTCTTTATCCAAGGGAGCCTCCTTCTACAATCCCTGTGCCAAATGGACGGGGCTGGGAGTGACGCCTCCCGCTTCCCCATTACAGCTGATTTCTTGCAAGCGATAAGATGCTGAATGTTCAAAGTGCAAATTGCACTCAGGTCTAGATGTCTAGACACAGACCCAGGCAGGAATTGGTGTCTGGGGATCTGTGCTGGGCCAGATTCATTAGTTTCTCGGTTGGGTAGTAAAATGTTAACTGCAGGGGGAAGGAGGTTTTTGGAGCAGCTGGACCTGATATTTGGATTCCATTTTGGTCTTTTATATAAATGGCTTATATTGTTGTTCTGAGCAGACCCCTGTGTGCCCCGAATGATGGTAATAATCCTTAGCTTCCGTGTAACTGCCCAGCACATGACTGCAGCACCGTCACTCCTGGCTCCAGCCACGCTATCCCACCTCATCTGCCCACGGTTCTTGCCTGCCACTTTGGCTAGTTTGAGGCCAGCTTCTTCCTCTCTCGGTGCCTTCCCTGATGCAGATCCTGCCCCCAGAACATATTCTCCTCTTTCCTCACCACCTCCCATGCCCACATCAAACCCCACCTTCCCTGTAGGTCTTCTGTGGCCCCCGCTGCCCTCTGATTTTCTTTCTATTCTCAGAACTCCTCCAGCACCTTGTCTGCAACCATGTCATCCAGCCCTTAGTCAACCTAACTCTGGCTGTGCCTCCATGTGTCTCAGTTTTGTCTTCTCAACCAGCAGAAGTTCTTTAAAAAAAAAAAAAAAAAAAAAAAAATATATATATATATATATATATATATATATATATATATATATATATTTCATTGATTTTTTTTTACAGAGAGGAAGGGAGAGAGATAGTTAGAAACATCGATGAGAGAGAAACATTGATCAGCTGCCTCCTGCATACCCCCTACTGGGGATGTGCCTGCAACCTGGGACACATGTACTGCACACCCCAGTACATGTCCTTGACCAGAATCGAACCTGGGACCCTTCAGTCTGCAGGCTGACGCTCTATCCACTTAGCCAAACCGGTTTCGGCCAGCAGAAGTTCTTTAAGAGATCTGGACTGGTTTGGAATGCCCCTCAGTATTGCACATGGAACCGCCAATATAGACAAGCTCAATAAGTGATTTCCACTCACTGAGGTTCAGTTCTAAGAAAATAATAAATGGTTCTGTAAAATATTTTCTGCATAACGATGTTCAAGGTAGTAGTATTTATACAGAGCCAAAAGAATTTAAAGCAACCTAAATATGCAGTAATAAAGCAATAAGTATGATGCAATATAGAGTGCATTAGCATTCAAAATGATATTTTAAAATATTTTTATTGATTTTATTTTTAGAGAAAAAATAATGGAGAGGGACATATTGATACGAGAGTGAGGATTGATCAGCTGCCTCCTACATGCCCCCTACTGGAGATTAAGCCTGAAACCTAAACATGTGCCTGACAGGGAATTGAACCAGTAATTTTTCGGTGTATAGGACAATGCCAAACCAACTAAACCACACTGGCCAGGACCAAAGTGACATTTTGAGGACTATCTTAAGGTATAAGATCAACAAATAATATTATATGGGTACAAATATGTAAATAACATGATACAATCAGGTGACAACATGTTTATATACTCAGAGAAATGAAAGCTCACATAAATAAAAATTATTATGTATAACTGTGTTTGTACAATGGGCATTATCACTTATGTTCCAAATACTTTTGTATAATAGAACAATGGTTTCCTGATAGGCGGGGAAGTGACTTGATGGCGATTTAGCTCTAGCATTGTAAGGGGGAGGATATGCTGGGTCTCAGGCATGGCCTTTCTCGGTGCTTTTTCTTTTAGTCTCACAATATCCCCAAGAGGGGGATATCAGCCCAGTTACTCAGACTTCTGTGGATATCTCTACTTTACAGGTGATGAAACCAAGGCTCAAAAAGCTCATGTAATTTGCCAAGGATCCCACCTACTACTTGACAGATATACAATATCTTTCTCTCCAGAAAAATGCGTGTTGGCAGATAGAGGCAATAAGAAAATATATAAGTGAATTAATAAGAAATTCCCAGATGAAGACAAAGACTCTGCAGAAAATAAAACCCCTAAGCAAATGAAGAGTAACTGGAAGAGTGTTATCTGTGATGGCCCAGGAGGATTGTTCTGAAGACTGAATGGCCCCTCTAGATCATAGGGCCCTGGAGCATGATGGGAAGAAGCAGGCAATGAGAGGATCTGGGAAAGAGCATCCTAGAGAGTAGGAACAGCAAGTGCAAGGGCCCTGAGGCAGGAAGGAACTTGGGGTATCTGAGGACCAGAGATACAACTGTGATAACGACTGGGTCAGGAAGCCAGGCGGGAGCAAGGTCAGAAGACTTTGTTGGCCACAGCAAGCCATCTGTAGCTTATTCCAAGTGGCATTTCAGGAAGTGTTGGGTTGGTTTTAAATAGCAAGGTGCCATAATAAGTTGCACTATACATGCGGATGTGTTACTTACAGGTAAAGTACCGGTAAAGGCATCATGCTCTCTGGTGGGAATAAGACCAATTGCTCATTCATGCTTGTGAGGTCATGGTCCTCCATATGGCTTTCAACAGACAGTCAGATTTCAAAGGACCGCTTCCAGGCAGGCGTGCCGGGGCTCGCGGTGATTTGCAGGTTTTCTGATTCCTGCCAGCAGACTCTAATGTCTGCTGATTACAGTTTGCTGAAACACCAGCCCAAGTACAGCTGGGAAAATGCTCTTCTTAATTTACGTCCCATAGAGCACCACTAACGTGCACCTTTTATGGGGCTCTTACTTCTGGAGCTTAAGCTGTTTAAAATATCAGATGGTGTATGCAGTATTTGTTGAACCAAAATTACTAAGATTAAGTAACCATTCTCTAATATAAATAGCAGCTAAATGCCAAAAGCTCAAGAAGTCTGATCTTAACATAGCACGATCATGAAGAGACCCATTTGCTGATATTCTATGAGCAATGGCCACTCTGATTTGGGACTCTGGTAATTCATAGGATCAATGATCCTTATCGCTTTAACAGCCTGATCCTACAGGTGAGAAGGGAAGAAATGGTTCATGGTGAGAGTGAATAATATCTTTAAGCTACTATGATATCATTTACCAACAAGATATACAAAGAAAGGAGCTTTCTAATGCAGAAAAGTTGATAAAATCTATGTGGCCTTGGGCACTTTGGTAGCATAGAAGGGGTTTGCCAGCAGATCTCTGACTCCTCTTTCATAACTTTCCAATCCCTACCTCAGATAATCCTATTCTACTTTCGAGAAGCCTCTCTTTAAGAAGCCCTCTGACCCAAGGCATGCCTTTGCTCACTGGCCAAAGGGACAAAGAGGAGAGGGACAGAGTGGTGTAAACAAGGTGATTACATACAAACAGTGCCACAACCACAGATTGCGAGGCCCTTTTGAGACTTCTGATCCTGCTCTCCTGGTATAGATGACAAACTGAGGTCCAAAGACAGGGAAGCAACTTGCTCAAGGTCCAATGGCCCTTATATAAGAAAGCTGAAACTGGATATTAAGCAATTTGTTCAAGGTTAAACAACTTTGATATAGAAATGTCAAAAGTGGAAATCAAGTCTCTACGCGGAGTGCTGCACAGGTGTTTCTCATCAAAGCGGAGGAAATGAAGGGGTGGCCAGAAGTCCAATGTGCAGACATGCTCTGTTTGGTCAGCACAGCATTTTTTGTGTTTTAACTGGAATTAGATACCAACAGGTGATTTCGTATAAAAACCATTTTTTGGCTTTCCTGAACAAATAAGATATGGCCAAGCTGAAGCTCCATTTCCTATGACTTCAGGGATTGGAGCTTCAAAGGACTTGCCCCTTTGGATGGGACCTATGCTCCCCAATGTGCCACAGTCCCCACCACTCCCTATTGTCTCAGACCTTTCCGTTCACGCTTCGTTGCTCACTGCCCATTACAGCAATCAAAGGTTTTAACCCCCACTCTAAAAGCATCACCTGGATGTTTGCAAAATATCAACACTGGATAACTTACTATTTACACTGCTAGCAGAATTGTGTCTCCCTTGTGAAAATCACAGTTTTTCATTAGACACTCACTGCCACCGAGAGCTGGCCAATGTCAGGATACTAGGCTTAAGACTCAGCAGAGGTGCACCCCATGTTGGAGGTCCAGTGGGGAAAAGCAGATCAAGGCCAATAAACAGGGGAGTGGGTGTGGTTTAGTGTGGTAATCCTTGATTTATACACCTCTCTGCCCTCTAGACTGAGCTTTTTATGTGTGAGACTCAAGCTTTATCTCCCTGACTTTCTGTAAAGTGGAAAGCATAAGCCTCCCATAAATGCCGATTAAATAAATGTATGAAAGAATGGGGAGCAGAACCTCACGAGTGGCTGGAATAACACAGAAGAGATAACATGGCAAACTGGGAAAGTCTCCTTTAGGCAGAGAAGGCTTAGAAGTGAGTACAGAATCATGAAACAAGATGCTTCTTAACATGTCTTGTTCTTTAAAAGCACACAGACCAGGGTGGGGGTGTGCAGAAGGAAATAACAGCAGCGATGTGCTCTGGGAATCTAATTTTTGCCTTCTATCCAAGATGCCTTGCTGGAAGCACAAATCTCAGATACAGATAGCAATTTCTCCTTAGGACCCTCTACGAACTCTCACAAGGGGTTCGTTGCTAAGGATTGTGCCTGCATACTCCCAAAATTGATTTCCTGAGATTAAATGTTTTACTTGCATCATTCGACACCATTATTTTTGGTAAAGCAAAATGGGATTTGCTCATCTAATCCTTGGTTACTCCCTGGCCTTACTCAGACTTCCATGTTTGAATATATCTCGGACAGCAGACAGCGTGGTGAGAAAGGAGGCTGAGGGGTAGGGGGAGGCAGGGTAGGAG